CCGCGCCGTGCGCACCTCGCCGCTGTGCAGCCCCACGCGGAACAGCCCCGGCTCCGTCGCCTTCGCCAGCTCGTACGACAGCCACGCGTTCTGACCCGCGTCCGCGTCCACCGCCACCACCTTGGCCACCAGCGCCCCGGGCTCCGCCGAACGCGGCGCCAGCTCCACGCCCGACCACCCCGAGCCCGGACCCGAACCCCCTGCCGCCGCCGCCGCCGGCGGGGACAGCACCTGCGGCGCGTTGTCGTTCTCGTCCACGATCTCCAGCCGCACCGACACGTTGCTGCTCAGCGCCGGCGCGCCGCCGTCCTCCGCCACCACCCACAGCCCCACCTCGCGCACCTCCTCGTAGTCGAACGAGCGCAGCGCGTACAGCGCGCCCGTCTCCGCCTGCACCGACACGTACGACGACAGCGGCGAGCCCCGCACCCGCCCCTCCCGCAGCCGGTAGCGCACGCGCGCGTTCTGCCCCCAGTCCGCGTCCCACGCCCGCACCCGCAGCACCAGCGCGCCCGCCGCGTTGTTCTCGCCCAGCCGCGCGCTGTACCGCGCCTCCGCGAACACCGGCGCGTTGTCGTTCACGTCCAGCACCCGCAGCGCCAGCACCGCGCTGCTCCACAGCGCCGGCGACCCGCCGTCCGCCGCCCGCACCGTCACGTTGTGCTGCGCCACCTCCTCGCGGTCCAGCTCCCGCGTCGTCACCACGCGGTAGTAATTCTCAAGCGACTTCTCCAGACGGAACGGGACGCCGGCGCCCAGCGAGCAGCGCACCTCGCCGTTGGCGCCCGAGTCCCGGTCCTGCACGTGCAGCAGGGCCACCACGGTCCCCGACGGCGCGTCCTCCGAGATCTCGCTCAGCGCCGAACGGACGGAAATCTGGGGCGCGTTGTCGTTGACGTCTGTCACGGTGATTGCGACCTTTGCCGTGTCGGAAAGGTCCCCGCCATCTCGGGCTTCCACTTCCAGTTCGTAGGAGTCTGCATCCTCGAAGTCCAAGCTCTGCACCAAAGAGATCGCTCCTGTCTTAGGATCCATCTGGAAAATCTGAGAAGCTTTAAGCGAAATCGTTTGAAAAGAATATTTGACATGGCCGTTCACGCCGTCGTCGGCGTCGGTGGCCG